AAGCTGGCGACTTGACGAGCTCAAGGCCCACGGTGGCTGCTACTCAATGCGAGATGGAGCACGAGAAGGTGGTTGAGGGGGCGTGGGGGAGGGAAAGCGATAGGGATGGGGATACTGCAAGTGGATGCTCAGACGGGTGGCGGAACCGCCAAGGAGGGATGACTGGACGAGGTAGGCAGTATGGCGGGCGATTAATGGCTTTAGTTACTGGCGACCCGGTCGTGTCCTCTCCTGAGAAGCCGTCACTGTCTTACCTTTATATATATATATACATATATATATATATACGTATCTACCAGACTGTCTTCAGACGTTTCCCATTATCAGCGGGACAGTTAACAGCCCGAATGACGGCTTCTCCGGCGAATTCGGTGAAACGAGCGATAAATTTCTCGCCCGTCGAAATTCTTGCCCGTTCTCCTCTCCTCCCCTCCTCCCCTCTTTCTTTCGTCGTTCGTCGCGATAAATTTTTCAATTTCACCATAAATTCACCACTGTCTTGCGAATTACAAAAGAAGTGCTTTATATAGATTTCCTGTTGTGCCTAAAATCTATACATATGATGCGACATGTAATAAAACGATTCATATGAATCTATGCATTTGATCTAGATCGGCTTCTTTAATAATTATATTTTCAGATGTATTGTTCGACTTCACTCGAAAACTCGGATTCCATTGTATTTCGAGTCGCAACTGCAGCGATAAAATTTTTAAGTTGACAAATAAATTTATATCAATTTCGAAAGCGACGTCTCCAGTTTCCGTCAGTCGCTTTCGCTTTTTTTTTAAATTGATCTCGACAATGGAAGCGAAAATAAAAAGGAGTACGCTAATCGCCAATCGTTCGTACAATCGAGCGCCGCGTTAATGTTAATTGCTCATAATCTCGAGTTAGCCGAAAGTCCTGAGTTTAACTGAAATACGTTGGTGGCTCTCGCGAGCGACGCTTGGTTGGATGTAAAATCACCGGCGGCACGATTTTAATCCGCGCCCATCTTAATCGCGGGTGTGGCGGTCGCGCGTAATCGGCCCTTTAATTCCTGTAAAATCGAGGATAACGAGGGGCTCCGTCCGTTCCTACGTCCATCTGTCTCACTTGCCTCGCCTCCTTCCACTCTCCCTCGCTCTCTTTCCACCCCGGCTCTCTTTCTCTTTCGTTCGTGTCTCCCGGTGGAGCCTAACCCGGCGCCACGTTCGCGGGTGCAGAGGCGATCGTTACACCGAAGCGTCATCAATCACCGCCGCGTCGGTTTAACTCGGCTACACGCGAGAGCGCCGGCTCGTGCACGCCGCGAACTACTTTCTTCCCCGCTCTTTTTTTTTCTTTCTCTCTTCTTTTTACATTTCGTTACACGAAGGCGGAAAAAGGGAGCGGATGGCGCGAAAAAAAAGCGACGAGAAATTGCGAAAAGCCGTAATCGTCGTTCCCAAATTCGTCCATAGCTTCCCGTTCGCGTGTTTTAATAGCGAGCGCCTCTTGTTTGTTCTCTTCTGAAAAGCCATCGTTTATCATTGATATTATGTATCCGTTTGTACACACAAGGTGCATTATCGTTACATATCACAATCTGTGTGACAATAATAATGTAATTATAATGTAGAAAGATGGAAGGGAAGAGATTGTTTGTCAAATTGACGTGGGAGAAAAAAAGATTGTAGATGGCTATGAATTTGTAAATTATGAATCGAGGGGGTAAACCGCTGAGGGCATTGTGGTGTACAAATTTGCGGCATTACCGAGCATTACTGGGCATTACTGGGCATTTTTTGGGCATTAGTTTGAGCCACGGTCTTACATACACGGGTGGAAACGACGGCGGTGGGGGTTGTCTCTCTTAACATTCTTGTTTTCACTTCGATTCTCAGCCGCAAGGTGCGCTATGGTAGATGCTATTAAGAATTTTTATTTAAAAGTAACAAAATGATGCCAGTTTGAGAAAAGTTTTAAAAAGTACTTTTTTTTCCATTGTTAAAGATAAGCATAGTTTTTGGGCCGTTAAAGTGGAATGACCCCTTAACGAAGACACCCCCACCACTCGAAATTCGATGTCGTTTCCAGACCTGTGCATACGACCGTGATTTGGGCATTAGGCCTTGCTGGGGCATTATAGGGCTGGGGAGCAACTCGTTACTTGTAACGAAGTTACAGTTACTTTTTTTTTTGGTAACTCTAACTTAACTTTGCTACTTATTTTTATTGCAAGAAAGTAACTGCAAGGTAACTGTAACTGTGACGCGTTACTTTTCAGCATTGGTAACTTGTAACTAGTTACATTTTTAGTGAAAAAAAACTGTAACTGTAACTAGATATTTTTATAAAGTGACTTTTCCAACCCTGGGGGATTATAAATATAAAATAAGATAATAAGGTAATGTCAACTGGGCATCAGTAGGCATTGGTGTATATGATTTTGGTCAGCCGTTTACCTTTCGTTATCAATACATGACGTGGTAATGCCGCGTCACGTGTCTACGTTACGTCTAATATTTTAGAAACCTAATAATAAGATTTGTTCTGTCTCGCCTTTGCGTGGCTTCTCCCTTGCTTCTCCCATTCTATGAATAATTCAGAATGACCAACCGGATATTTTATTAGTGAAACCACCAATGCATGTAAAAATATCGCGTGTGATAATTACAAGGAAAAACGATTCCCGTGTATGTAGAATAATTTATATAACTTGTTACGTTGCTATTCCGCGCGCTTCATCAATAATTATGATAAACGTCGCTAAGAAGGTATACAGGAACACCTTCCTCGCGGATATCCGACGTGGCAATTTCGACGTTGACTTGTTAGTCGCCCGCACCGCTTTCTCCCGGATAGACACCCGGTCGGTGACAGTTACAGATGGGAATGCAAGTACGTCGACGGAATCCGGGGGACGGCGACACGGAAAAGACCGGTGTAAGCCTCCCTCGCGGGAAGAATGACGATGAAGAGGCTTACCGTTTCGCGGTATGACAAAAGCCGAAATATAGGCTAGAATCATCCGGCTCCTCCTCGACTATGCGCCACGTAACAACGGCGGTCATCCGTCTTTCTCTCTCTCTCTCTCTCTTTATCTCCTTCGTTTCCGTCGTTTGGCAATCTCTCCCTCGCCCGCGCTTTCTCTCGCGTCCTCGTAATAAATATAAAAGTACCCCGGCGGGCCAACGGGATTCGTATAGCCGATAGTAACACGGCTGCTACCTCCGTCAGGAGGAGGAAGAGAGAGGTAGTTGCGCGAGAGACGTGGATAGGGTGCTGGTATATTATTTGGCGGGGCTCCAGCCGGCCGCGAGGCTCGCCTCGATGCTTTCATCTTAGGCACAGCCACCCTCCCTCCCTCCCTCCCCCCTTTTTTTCTATTCGTCGAACAAAAGCGCGTTGTACTAGCACAGCTCAGGTGAACCGTGGTGTATCGACGACGTACTGCTCCGGATTCTCTTGACTCTTCCGTTCTCCTCCGTGCACGATGATCTGACGGTCCTGCCGTCAGTTGCATCGCAGGCGGAATAAAGCTCGAAAAGCTCACAATCAGTCCTTGTTTAGCATTAGGGTGTATTAGAACCGAGAAGGGGACGGTTGCGCGCGATGTGGCGCGAGGAGATTCGCTATGGAGGTACTCGAAGGGAGGATGTGTATCTTATTTTCCGTTTTCTTTAATACCGCGACCTCTTGACGTTGCACACGAACGCGGCGCGATTCGTGTAACTATCGGTTGCGTCGGCATTGTTAATTTCGAGGGGATCTCGCGGATCTGACAGCGTCTTGCATCGCCGAGCTTTCGCCGAGATCAACGGGCGGTACGCGGTACAGCGGTACAACAGTACGCGGGGCTTCATCGAGCCCCTGTTACGTTCGGATTTCCGGGTTGCAGCCGGCGATGTTAATGCACCGCGTGCAGCATCGGTAGGTACCGACGTGCGTAGTAGGGCATGCATGTGCAGCGCGGCGCATAGATAACCGCGCGTAGCGTGCGGTATGACTCGCATCGGCGGGCGGGCGAACGCTCTCAGAGAGGCAAACAGACAGCAAGAGAGAAAGAGAATCGGAGCTGCGGGGCGGGACAGAGAGAATCGGTGATACAGAGTAGGAGCGTAGTCTTCGCCACGTGGGAACTGGAGCAATCCCTGCATACGGAGAATGCTTCACGGTGAAATTGCGACGAGGACAGAGTTCGAAGACGAAGACGACGATGAAGAGAAGGGCCCCGAGGATGCGGTGCGGCAGCACGAGCAGCGGGCACCCTCTCCATAAATCACAGAGAACCGGTAGTTTCCTCGCGCACAGTAGGTGGAACAATGTCCTTTCCACATGGCTACTGTATGTGCGTGTGCGCGCGCGCGCGCGTGTGTTTCTACCGCGTCGACTTTTCGGATCGCGTCGATCACCGAGCAGTCCGTCATAGATTACACGATAAAACGACCGAGTAAACCGATTTATCCCATCGCCGGCCTAAGAAAATTCACATTAGCTGTTTTACTCCAGAGCGCGCAGTGGCAGAAGATATATAACAGAAAGATTTTATTCTCGGAAAAAACGCTCTAAAAGCAGCGCAAGCAGGATTCTTGTCCCGCAATATTTAAGCAACAAACGCATTAGAAGAAATCTCGGCTTTACGATTATGTTGCGGGCCGGTACATGCCTTCTTCCACCTCGCCAACGCCCTTTCCGTTTTTCCCGCTCACCTTACCGTCTTGGGGCATTATTAATGATCGCGGAAACCGCTCTAAAAATCTCTTACGAATGCGAGTACTATACCTACGAGTGCGATACTATACTCGCACGCGCGATACGCATTTTTTGATCGACACTGATGAATGGCGGCTGAACCGGAACGTTCTTGTCTCGTTGCGGAGAGAACTGAAGCTCCCGCGGATGCGGGATGATTTAATACGCTCGCAGGCGACATATTACTGTGATCCACAAATACCTTGGGGATCGAAAGTGCGTATAGCGATTTTTGTGAAATTCTTGCTTCGATGGGGAGAGAAATAAAAAGAGATTTATAGACTCGTGCAAGATTTATTGATTGTAAAACTGTGCTGTTGAACAACACGGCTATAGATATAAAAAGCACTTTGTACCGAGAGAAACTTCCAGCCTTCGGAAAAATTTGCTCGAAATTCGACATACGTTTATATAAATGATACGGTGCGACTGAGTGTCAAAGTATAGGCATTCTTATTACACAGTGCACCGCTGTATAAAATGTCAATCGCTTCAAACGCGAATAATCGCATCACATCGATTGTCTCTTACACGCGAGAATTTAGAATCGAAGCATTTATTTCGATCGTTTATTCGACATGCATTTAATTGCAAAAGTTTTTCTACAATTTACATTCAGTCATATCATTTGTATCTTGTTGAAAAGTCATATGGTTTCAAAGTCGCGCTCGCATCACATTTGATACGAGTGGTCTTATCGATTTGTCAAAGCTTATTGTAAATTTGAGCTGTTATTTTACTTCAGCAAATGCAACTGCAATCGGGCAACGATCACTGCGATGTTTAATCTTGATTTTAAAAAGTATTAACTTTTTGTTGCACACTGATATTATATTTCGCAAGTAAAATTTGCAAGATACGTTATACATTAACGTAATTTCAAGCGAAAGATTACCAGCTTCGATGAATTAATATCCGGACTTCTTCAAGGCGGCGACCTCGGCTTCCAGTTCGGTGACTTTTTTCGAGAGTTCTCGGATTTGTTCACTCAATCTCGCCACTGTTTGCAGCATCTCGGTAGAACCGACCCTGCGATCGACGCATTTATATAAAGCGTTATCGTCGACGTCGGCGTTCGGCTCATGAGCGAGACATTCTTCAATCAGTAAGTCGCCACCAATCCAGTCCTGAATGAAACGGATGTGATTGCTACCCAGATACCAAGTCATCGAGTGGCGACATCGATACGACCACGGGTTGCTAGCGATATAGATCTTTCTCAGTTTCGTCAGCTTTTTCAGCAACTCGGTAGGTAGACAAGCCTTCATCTCATTGTGCGCGATGTCCCAGAACTCGAGATTCGGCAGCAAGTCATATAATCGCGCATCGATTTCGCTGATTCGATTGCGCCACACGATGAGCGCCTTAAGATTCATCAAATCCTGAATCCATGATGAGTCCAGCTTTCCAATTCTATTGTCCACCAGACCTAGCACGCGCAGTCTGTCGAGACCTCGAAACGCGTTAGGTTCGATCTCTTCCACGCCGCATCCGGTGATGTTGAGTTCCTCCAGAGAACCGCCGTGCACCGAGAATGCGTCCATTGGTATCTTCGTGATGCTCGAGTTCCTAATACTGATGCCTAACACTCCCTTGGGTAACTGTGAGAGCATCTGTAATTAAATATGGTATGAAAACATGATTGATGTACACACACGATTGAAAATATTTTTAAGATTTTGTAAGAAACTTTTGAAAAGTTTCAAGAACAGAGATCTATCGCATCCCATAGAATAATACCTGTAGATTCGTAAGACCTTCGCACTGATAACAATTCTGTCGTTCATACAAGCCCAGTCGGCAGTCAGCCGAACATGCAGCCAGGACCGTCGCGAGGACGAGCAATCTCAGGATCCGCTTCATCGCGATGTACTTTTCAGCGAATCTGAATCCGATCGTTTTCCAGTTCGCTTCTTATAGCAGAAGCTCAAGGTTGCATAGAACATTATCGGCAGTGTCGAGGAAAATAATGGCCGGGCAGGGAAGTACCGGTGGTTAAGTTCTGAAACGATGTAAATACATCGCGATATTTCTCGTGCGTACGATGATCCGCTCGCCAGATAATCGTGTTATCTACAACTGACTCAAGTTATAATGAAACTGGAATTTCTCTGTTTTATACATAAGTAAGGATAGTGTGCGTACACATGGAGTATATCTAATTTGTACATCTATTTGTAAGTCATCGCGTGCACTTATAAATTTATTTTATGAGCTCCTAATTTTATTATGATACAGAAAATAAGTAAAAAGCAGTCATTATTAATTTATAGAATTACATGATATTACAACGTGATGGCCATTGTATGGTAGATGATTGTATTCTACAGTGTAGCGTACTTTCTTATGTATTCAATGTATCAACTTTTTATGTTTAATTTTACAGACAAATTTATTTTAATTGTATTAGATTAATATTAGTAATCAACTTGATTCAAATTATCAAGTTTCTCATGCAGTATTTTATATATTGTATAAGCTATTTACATATTGTACAAGCACATCTCATTTGGTAGCTACTTTTAGAACGAGTGAATGAAGAGTCGTCTGGTATCAATTATAAAAGTCAGCACAAATCTGGTTTACCTTGCGAGAAGTTGCCGGGGATAGGCGATTGCCTAGGGCACCCGATTTCTGTGTTCAGATTTGACGTACAAGCGACGATAAGGGAACGAAGGTTCTCTCTGATTGGGTAATTAGAGGATCTCCCGCTTATGTGTGTCGATCACGTGTTTTTGATGAAGATGGTTCGTGAGAGCGAAACCGGTTTCGTCGCGCGAAAAACATGAAAATGACCGCGACGAGTGTAGTTTGGCGCGTCTCGCGAGTCTCTGCTGGTGAGATCGGCGACGGCGATTTATTAGTGCGTGTCAAATTTGCGTTTTAAAAAAATCGTTGCATCTTAAATAACAGCATGTCCTCGTCGATGCTATTTTGCCCGGAAGGAGATGATTGATCGCTCGAAGCGGTGTATCCACACGTTAGATTCCGTCGTGAATTCTCCTCTCTTCTAGGCATTCTGCCCCTTCCAGATTCCGCTTTGCGAACATCTTGTCCTGATAAGAGCTATCGGTGGTTATCGCGATATCGAGACTGGACATTAAGCATGTATGAAAACTACTGTGTAAAAAGTCGTATAATTTTCCGTATAACATTGCGACAACATTCCGTGCGACATTTAATTATCACGCCGAGATCTTACGAATCCCGTCAACAGTTTTATCGTACAAATCTTTTTTTCAATTGTACACTGTAATCTGTATGATTCTTCTTCTTCTTATTCCTCGTGTATTAGTCTTAAAGCCTGTTTTATCCAGTTCTCGTTCTGGTACTTTGAGCATTTGGTTTTCCTTCATCTTCGGTAGGCTGCTAACCTTGTCGAAGAAAACCTTCCATCTGGAGGGCTATACTCCTAAAGGGGTATGTGTGGCAAGATGCTCTCGGTGGCTGCCCCTTCCCTTCGGGAGATTCTGAAAAAACAACCAGCGGTATCCGTGGATTCGAACTCTGATCTTTTCGTTCATTTGTTTACTAAGCTGCGCACATTTCTCTGCGCCACCGTATACTGTATGATTCAAATTTCTTAAATATTTACTAGAAGGTATTTGATTTTTCGAAACGTCTATTACAAAATTTTATGCGGATTGAAACAAACATGGCGGAAAAAATAGATACTCCAAAATTGAAAGGAAAAGTTTTCGCAATAAATTAACAAATTAAAATCACTTAGACCCCCAATACAACCTGTCTTGGCTCTTATATTTCACGTCGGAGCCGTATGAATTTTATTGCTCAAAAAATTGAGATATTCAGATTGAACGATTATGTGATATAAAAAGTCGGCAAAACAGGTGTGCGATCACCAGACGCGGACAAATGGGCCGGCAAAATTACGAATTAAATGCCTCTCGCAAGAGCAACTCGCTGAATTATGACGTGCCGTCGATACATTCGGCAAGAATTAACACGGGAGCAATTACCTTTGTCACGCGCGATTCTCGCCCCCGCCCCCGCCCCTGCCGCCTCCCTCCCTCCCCCCCCCCCACAACAGTGGTAATTACGGAGTTCGAACGTTTCGGCGGGTTGGTGCTTTCGTGTAATGTCTTCATGCGGGCGCACGGGCCGGCCCGCGGCGGGATTTGCGAGGATAATAACTCGCGGGCGCGCGCTGATCGAAATATTAAAGGAACCCCTTGTTCGCGCGATAATGCCTACGTGCTTTACGAACGTTAAGCTCTGGCTCGCGCGAATTGCACGGTGCCACCGCGTAATAATAAAGCCGGTTGGTCGGTCGGCTGGCTGGTTGGCTGGCTGGCTGGTTGGCCGTTTCGATCGCTCGCGTAAGGCCATCCGACGACGGTACGTGTGTGTGGCGTGTACGTACAGCGCGTACACACGCGCACTTGTCATTTCTAGCGCGGTCGAATAGAGACACGCGCGCCCACAGATAACGCATCTCTAATGGCGTAACTGCGAAACGCACGCGTACGTTCACCCCCGCGGTGGACGCGATCTCGCGCGATTGATAACCGGAAAGGCCTACTGCCGGATGCCGATCGCCGGGACGCGATGCAAGACGCCGCTCGGGGATGTTCGATCGTTATAGTCGCGTGCCGGCGCGTGGGGCTAGAATTCTAGAAATCCGCGTCGACACGCCGCGCCCCGCCTGCTCCCGCGATGATCCGAATACGATGAGATCGCGCCGCGATACGTTGCGAGGCTGATGTCGTGTACGTACATACGTACGTCGCGGACACGCCGAAATAAGTACATCGCGACGTCGAAGAAAGGTGTTAACGCGCGTGTCCCGTTACTTCGTTACACGTACGTACACGTGAGAAGAAGGGGAGAGAGAGAGAGAGCTCTAACGCGACGTACATGCACGAACTCTCCTGCATATATGCATAAGACTGCACATACTCGGCGCACGACAGCAAATCGTAATGCTGTAATAATGGATGCACTACCAGCAACAGTTGTCCAGCAGCGCGGGGGATTCGGTGAGGTGCGCGGGGGCGAAAGGGGCCGGGAGGGGAGAGGGGTGGAAAAGCCGGCGGAGGAGAGGCGGCAGGGAGGAAACGCCGAGGTCCGATAGGGAAAGGGTAGCCGCCCTCCCGCACGCCCGCCAGCGCGACGTCGCTTTCAAGCGCGAAGCTGCGCAATTTGCGTGTAAATATTTCTGTCGGTTTTTACACCGGGCGCCGTACACACTTTGCACTACGCCCGTATAACTCCATAAAACGCGGAGAGAACAAGCGGGCACTGACATACCCGCCGCCCATTCCGCAAACACGCGCGCACGCACGCACGAGACGGAATGCATAATTTATCGGATACGCCGCGATGTTTTACGCCCGGTCGATAGTCGCGCTCGATTAGTCGCGGCCGTGGGTCACGGAAAAGTTGGCATAATCGCGCGCAGATAAGCGCCGTCGCGGAACACGGGCCGCGGAATCCGCTTACGCCGATAACGCGCGTTAATCATTGTCGTACAATTTCTTCGCCCGATCGTCGATTATTAATGCGCTTCATTAGCGCGTCCGTTCGCCTCGCGCGGAGAGATCTCGTTTTTCGAGGCCCCAAGTTTCAGCGCGCCCCCGTGGCCTCCGCTGTGGAATTTCGAATTTCTCCGCCGCACGAAATTTCCCACGTAATAGGGTATCCGCGATATTATCAATGGTATCGTACAAGTACCGAAATGCATTCACGGGGAATTTCTACAGTCTCCGCAAATGCGAGTTTCCGACACCGGATATTCGTTCGCGGAACGATTCGCGTGTCGGCGCGGAAAGCGTGCTAGGCATTAGCCGCCCTGTAATCGCGGTAAAGCGATATTTAAGGGTTCGCTTTTGATGTTATTTTTTACGTTTATTGCATCATAACGCGCGGCAGGAAGGAGGAGGAAAGGGGGGGAGGGCGAATTGCCGTGCCGCATCGAGCCACCGATAAGGTCGAGAAGGCATATCAGCGGCGTCCCGTCGTTCCGTCGACGCTTTATTTGCTTGGCCTAGGTCACGTTCTTCGCCCACCAGACGCAAGCAAATGTTTACGCGCACTTCGGGGGTGGGATACATAATGCGGATACGCGTTAAACTGATACGCGACGGCGGCGCGTACGAAACTATACGACGTCGTAAACGAATCCCGGCGGTGCGGTGCGCCGCGGTGAACGGCGTCTGTGCCGACGTACACGCACCGGCATAAATGCTGTCCCTATCCTTGTGAGGTGCACGCACACAACTACAGGGACTCTAGTTGTGTGCATGCACCTCACAAGGATAGGGACAGCATTTATGCCGGTGCGTGTACACGTGCGTCGGACGCACATGCGTGTCTACGCGGATATGGGGAAATACGGGACGAAAAAGAACGGGAGGCAGGGGAGGGTACGACGAAATTTGCGACGCGGCTGTATTTTATTACAACGTTTAATCGCTAACTCGAACGAACGGTGCAACTTGTTCGATCTTTACACGCGCGGTGAGAGAATTTTCATTATCCTTGAATCAACGATCGATTCGATTGCCTCCGATTTTTTGGAAAAAAAGAAATAGTTTAATCTAATGGATATTTTTTATAATAACATCAAGTTTGTTTTACCGTATCTGGTGATTTTTGTGTTCAAGACTCGCTACGTTTCGACCATGGGTCCTTTTCAAGCGAACTCTTTAACAATGTAATTTCTTTTAATCGTTGACTAAATACCTCGGATCTTCGTTATACACTTTATCTACGTATTAATCTAAAAATTTCCTACTTTGTATAGTTAGTTCGCTTGAAAAGGGCCAAAACCCATGGTCGCAGCGAGACTTGAACATAAAAATTGCCAGATACGGTTAAACAAACTTGATGTTGTTAATTAT